GAACACCAGATTTACATTTGCATTATACTGAGTGACAACAGTATGGACACGCTGTTTACCAAAGGGCAAATATTTAGTAAGCTAATGAAGTCATTTCTTCTAAAACAACCAGTACCCCATGTGACCACATACTTGTTATTATAACAATAAATTACAATAGATTTACTGGCCAAACCTTTATCTACTTTAATTTTAGGCAATATTTCCCAGTTGGTTCTGGTTATAAACAACATTACATCATTTTTCCTGGCTGTTTCCTAACAACTTCTTCATATTACTACAGAGTTAACTGCCTGTAAATTAAAGGATTACTGAATCAATGAAGCATTCATTCATGTCCAGCTTATATGTACTGTAATCATCACAGATTACCTGTCACACTCATACTGGGTGCAGTCAAGATGAACAGACATACATAGTGTTATTATGCAAAGCAATATTTTAAATGATTGAACAACATTTGATTGATGTGCAGGTTGCTCAAATTCAATGTGAGGAAGCATGTGAAGCAGGAGCATTTTCTCAGTTTTTAATTTGAAGCCATCCTGATGGAAAAACACCTTCCTGACTGCGGGTCTACAAGACATGCAAAGACCCACCAAACCTATTTAAAAAACAGCAGGGACTTCCTGGGTGATGCTTTATAAACTGGTTGTTAAAACAGCTTTGGCATCTGGGTTCATTTATAGCATCGCTACAAAGGCACTTATTTAACATCTGCCACAGCTTAGTTGTGACAGCTTCCATTTGACAAACACAAAGAGGTAGAGTCATAAGCATCTCAACTCACTCTGACCATGCAGCTTTAGTTTTAGAACAGTTTGAATCATTGTTAATGCTGTGACATTTTAAGTGGTTTATCTGTGAAGAGGTTCAGCTCTGGCGGACTCCCACAGTCCAAAGACATGCAGCTTAGGTTGATTGGAGACTCTAAATTGCCCCCAGGAGTGGTTGTGTATCTAGCCACGGGGGTTTCACGTCAGTGACTTCTGTACCGGTCCCAAGCCTGGATAAATAGAGAGGGTTGTGTCAGGAAGGGCATCTGGCATAAAACCGTGCCAAATTACTCCTGTGAACTGGATTTGCTGTGGCAACCCCTAGCAGGAACAGCCTAAAGTAGAGTAGCAGTAGATCTGTGAAGAGATTCCGTGCTGGAAGCTTAAAAATCAAAAGTTGGAACTTGATGTATCTTTTCAGAAATAACTAAAATGTTAAATTTTCTTAGGGCATGACTTCAGATGGAGTTGAAACTACTTGCATACACAAACATATGCAGTGACACTGCTATACAATTATAATGATAAAGTCAGAAACAATCCAGTTACCAGTCACAGTGATGGCCAAGTTACTTTCCAGAGGTCATTTTGTTCAACTTTTTTCCTGAGATATGCCTTATTTTTTTACATGCCATATCCTTAAACAAAGTTATCTGTATTCTGGATACAGCCAGTTTGTTCAGTCACTATTATGCATGTGGTGCTGACGTGTGGAAAACTGCAAAAACAAGAAGCTCTTCGAAGATATGTGTAGAGCAACGATGCTCGTCTAAGTTTACAACACAACATTGTAGAGGTGATTTGTCGAGTGTATCATTTCAATCTGCTCTCCTGCGAAATCACACCGTGTGCAGATCAGCACTGGCCATCTAATTATGTCTCATGAGAAGAACCGTTTAATTGCCCACACATACAGGCTGCTCAGACTCTGTCTGTCTGTCTCCATGGTGTCAAAGGGCTCAGGTGGCCTACAAGTAACAGGTCTGACTCACATATCAAGATAAATTTATAATGGAGGCTTTATAATGAGGAAACCAAGTTTTTCCATGATGACATGACCTGTTCCTGAGAATAAAAATAATAGTAAAGACAGTTTACCATCACCTCGCTGTAAATACTTCCAACTTGATTTCAAATGGTTCCTAAATTATTACAAAGGGGTACGAGGTCATCTACTGACAGAACAACTGCATTGCAACTTGTTTATGCTGTATGGAAAGGACTACACATAAAAGTAGGTTTCAAACCCTTGCTTGAAAAATAGGGTGAATTGAAACAAGACCCCCTGTTTCAATGAAATGAGAGAAGTACAGTTATAATCTGTTAGTGTCAAACACATCCACACAAGATACTCTAAGATGTTTTTGTTTGTTTGTTTGTTTACAGTTGCCAACAGCCTTTCGTCCAGTCTGTAGTCACATTTTAAAGCACAACTGTCTCATTTGGACCACGCCACTGATACAATTCATGTTGTTTTTGTACAATATGTGGTCAATTAAATTGTTCCAACATTTTGACATTTTCTATATATACAGGTTTAACTAATGTTTGCAAACAGCCTGCCAGAAACAAAACTTCATATTATTAACTTATTAACTTATTATTAACTTAAAATATAAAACCTACAGTTTTTCTCGGTTGCACTGGTACATTTCCTGAATCCTTTTTAACATTTGCAAAACAGTTAAGTGCATTACTCAAAATGATTCACACAACCAGCACCACACAGTGGATCACCTGCAAAAGCCTGTAACCTGCTTAAAATCCTTAGTTTATCTGTCAAAAGTAAATCTTTATGAAAATGCACAAGGCGGCACTTGTTTTCTATGGCGTGTACCACTTTCCATGGTACAAAGTCTTACATGACTGTATGTGGCAGATTGATTGTAAAAAAAACTGGACACATTTCATTGTGACACAGAAAAGAAGGTGTTTACTGGAACTCTGCCTTCCCAGCTGCTGAAGCTGTTCACTTTGTTGTTCTTCCACTGTCAGAAACTATGTGGGCCTCTGTCTATATACACTTGCTAAATGATCTGTCTAGCTTGGTCTGACCACAGCACCCCATACTAGTTCTTTGAAAAGTTGGTATTTAGTAAACAAAGCAAAAAAAAAACTATTTGGTGATGATGCTTGTCAGTAAAAAAAAAAAAAAGGTAAAGGAGTCAGCTATTGTCCAGTCTGTGCTTCATGTGTTCATAAAGATAAACTAGTACATAGCAAAATCTTGAGGCCATTATATGAAACTACTGATGAACTTAAAATAGAAATGAAAGCTGCCACTACCCTAATAAACAGTGCGGTGGTTAGCGCTGTCACCTCATAGTAAGGAGGTTCTGAGTTTGAGCCTCAGCTGACTCCTTTCCACGTGGAGTCTGCATGTTCCCCCTGTGCCTGCGTCGGTTCTCTTCGGGTACTCCGGCTTCCTCCCACAGTCCAGAGGCATGCAGCTTAGATTGACTGGTGACTCTACATTGCCCGCATGAGTGAGTGTGGGTGTGTGTGTGCTTGTTTGTCTACATGTCAGCCCTGTGATAGACTGGTGACCTGTCCAGGGTGGACCCCACCTCTCACCAATGTCAGCTGGGATTGGCTCCAGACTCTCTTCAGGATAAGTGGTATAGATAATGGATGATCCATTAGTTTGCTTATTTTTATTAACAGTGTGAATGGGCTCTGCATTAAAGCAGACAGTTCACAGGAGCCGACTATTCCAGCAACAGGCTACTTTAGTGTACTTTACACCTTTGACCTTAAAACCTAATTAAAACATTCATGCACAGTAACCTGCTGTAACAGCATGGGATAAAAACTCCAGTTTACATTCCCAAAAATGTGAACACTTTTTTATGAAGACTTTTTCCTTTGAGAGTATTATTATTGAGACAGTGGCTCTATAAGCCTCCCCTTAATGAAGGTGTTGATACAATAGTAGGGGCCTATGTTTAAATTTCTGTCTTCTGTCATCTTAGAGGGAACATTCACTGAATAAGGCACTCAGCAGGTACACAAACAGGCGGTGGAAGGTAAGCCGAGCCAGGCTGTTGAACATAGCTGCTGCTGACATGGCAGGTTAGTATAGATGCTGACTGAGAGATGGCTGTGGCCAAACCCCGCCTGTTAACACACCACTGGACATCTCCTTTACAGTTAAACTCCACCTGGGGCTAGTATATCTCTGTGGCATCTGGTGACTCGACCTGCTCAGAAGGAAAGCACAGGGGTAAGTAGCTCAGAAAAATCATAAGGTTGTTTTTAGATATATTTTTAAAAGATGGAACTGTGGAATAACATGTTGAAGAATTTAGGTTTCATATGACAAGAAGGTTGTGTGTAGGTAATTCATAAAATAGTGGTGCATGGAACAGCAAAGTGGTTGCAGGAAGGTCTGTGTGGCACCAGTTATGCATGAAATAAAAATATTTTTTAATGTGGAAATAAAGCTTTATAATATATATTCAGAAAGAAATCGAAGTTCTAATTAAACTCCTCAAACAGTCAAGAAAATATTAAGATGTTTGACGTGGTTTGTTTTTCAGGTAATTTTAACTACGAATTATGTCACGAAAGCCCTGAGCAGCTTGAAAACACATGCAGATGATTTCATTCCCCATTACTCTGACAGTGACTGAAGAAATGTCCCAGCAAATGTCTAGTTGGATGGTTGCTGAAAAAAGAGGGAAAAGGAAACATCAAGAAAGACACCATGGCACTCTTTGTCTTCCAGATGGACAGACTGACAGTAACACTCAGGATGTGAAGACTGGCTCCTCGTTTGCTGGTATGAAATCACTTTCAGAGAGCAGTGATACAGGTGTTCTTAGTCTGGACCCTCAAACACCAAGCTGGGCTCTCGTGCAGAAGTTTGCTCAATTGTCAGCAGAAAAAGAAAAAGGGGTCTGTGATAACCTAGACCACAACAGTCGGGAGCTGTCACAATGCTCCAAGTATCTTGAGAATAACAAAATATATGGATGTAGTGATGTGCTCTTGGATGGTGTGCAAAAGAAGGAAAGGAACTGCTCTAAAAATCTCAAGAGCCACCAGGTACAAAGTCATGCCACAGACAAACAGATGGCATCTATGCTCAAAGAGCTGAATATTGAGGAAAACTCTCTTTATGGAGGTGGGAATAAGAGCAAAAATAAGAACGTAAATAGTCCTTCTGTTACAAAATTACTGAAAAACAGTGCGGAAGGCAAGATCCCTCAACTTTTGGTAGCGATGAAAAAACGTAGCAGAGTTGACACAGAGCACCGTCCTTTCAAGTGCACACACTGCCACTGGGCTTTTAAGAAACTCTGCAGTTTGCAGAGTCACTTACAAACACACACTGGCCTCAAGCCACATGTCTGTGATATATGTGGCAAGGCTTACTCCCATCAGGGCACGCTGCAGCAGCACAAGCGTCTACACACGGGTGAGAGGCCCTATCACTGCCCCTTCTGTGTCAAGACCTATATCTGGTCCTCAGATTACCGCAAGCACATCCGCACACACACCGGTGAAAAGCCCTATGTCTGTGACACGTGTGGCAAGAATTTCATTCGCTCCTCTGACCTACGGAAACATGAGAGGAACATGCACACTAATGACAAGCCCTTCCCATGCACGTACTGTGGCAAGACCTTCAATAAACCCCTCTCCCTGAAGCGTCATGAGCGTAAGCACCTGGGAGAGAGGCCCTTCTCCTGCCCTGACTGTGGGAAGGCATTTGCTCTGGCCAGTCGTGTGGCAGAGCACCGGAAGATCCACATGGGAGTGCGCCCATATGTCTGCTCAGTGTGCTCCAAGTGTTTCACTAAGTCCTCCAACCTGACCGAGCATGAGGCCATTCACAGTGGAGCACGGCCCCATAAGTGCACAGAGTGCGGTGTAGCATTTGCCATGGCTTCCCGCCTCATCCGTCACCAGTACACCCACAGTAAAGAGAAACCCCACAGCTGCATGGCCTGCAACAGGAATTTTAGCCAATTAAAAACACTGAGGCTTCACCAGGAGCAAACCTGTGCTGCAAGGATCTTTGTTTGTGTGAAATGTGACAAATCTTTCCAGTGTGCCACAAAGCTTGCACAACACATGCTGAGCCACAAGGATAAGAACATCTGAGCCAGTTAAAGATAGTTACTGTACACATACATCTCTCTACTAGAACTGTCCATTCAGTATACAAATGGATGAACAAGGTCACAGGGCACCAGTTTATTTATGTTAAGGTATGCACTGATGATAACTATGTCCTATGAGTTTTAAACCATGTTACTCACACACATTCTTTCCCTGTGGTGCCAGATTCTCATGAGAATATCGTGGGATAAAAGCATCAGACAATTTTTAAAGAGGGAATATAGATGAAGTTAATGATCTTGACAACATTGTCAGTTTGTATTGTGGAAATGTAAGCAGTTCATCAGGATATGCAGTAACATGGTTGGCTTATTCTGATGCTGGTCAGCAAGGTGCAACATACTGATGAAATTCAAGCAGGAGTGGCACTGAGCAAACCATTTCAGAAGACCAATCACTTCCTCACCCTAAATTTAGAGATAAAACCTTTAAATGCCTGACTTTCATCATCTAGCTGATGAATGCTTGCATAACCAGTTCATGTGATGAGCAGCTGCTGCCTGATGTTGTCAATCCATCAATGTCTGCCATACCCATATGTCTTCGTTTCACATTCTCTAGTGAGTTGCAGGCAGTTTTAGAGGCTGCGACCACTTTAATAGCCCAGGCCAGTTTAGTGGTTCAAGTCACTGCTTTTTTAGCCAGCGGACATTGCTTTGTAAAGCAAGTACGCCATTATTTTATTCTTTAAGTCATGGTGCTTCCTACTCCAGCCATGTCCATGCTGGAAGTTTTCTTTGATAGTTTACAGTTATGGTGTATCATAAACATAGCATTTTTACAAGCAGTACAACAGTGAGAACTAAACACAATTCATCCTGAAAGAAGGTAGGATGTTACCCCAAGGTCTTTGTATCACTAAGTCAAAGTGAAGGGATTGTGCTCTTATTTACCAGGTACACTAAAAGCACAAACGCTGCACTGTGAGTCAGATCTTTATTTGTCTGAACTTACTCTTAAAATCAGGGTGCATGTTATGTCAGTTATCAAACTTTTTAATGATACACACACAAGAAGAATGTTTGGTTTGTTTGAGCGTTATTGTGATAGATTTAGCTCAAATGTACAGACAGGTGACTAACGAAGGAAAAACCTGACTGAGTGGTCTCATCCACAGGGCGCGAGGGGTCACTGAATGCTTTGATGGGTATGACAATGATGTGAATTAGATGCTGTCACCAGGTCTCAGCCCAGTTGAACAGCTATGGAGATGTTGGAGCGATGTCTCCGCCACCATCATCAAAACACCAGGGGAATATCTTTTAGAAGAACGGTGTTGATCCCTCCAATAGAGTCCAGACACCTGGAGAGTCAGTGCCAAGGTGCACTGAACTGTTCTGGTGGCATGTGGTGGCCCAGCACCTCGCTGAGACACTATGTTGGTTTGCCTTTCACTCGTCGTAGATGAATAACAGCTTAACGGCTGTTAAACTGTCTTTTGTAACAAGGGCATTTGTTAAGATTTGATACCAGATTATTAAGTTGTGGTGTAGTGTGTCAGCATCTTTTGTAAACTGTTGGTGTTAAAATGTCACTGAATCGCAATAAAAGCTTTCAACCAAATGATAATCAGAAGGTCATCAAGCCAGTTTCCTCCTTATTGAATTAATGATGTTTGCTGATTAATCATTTAAAAGAATACGAACATACGTAACTTATTCATGAAACTACCAAATAAAATAAAAAAATTGGAGAAAGACATTTATCTCTAAACTGACTAGTAGGTCAAACTTGCATTAACACTGTGGGGACATTCTCTGGGATGAATCTTTCACAAAGCTAATCATTCCGTTATCTGACATGTTACTGGAAAGCAGTAAGCAATGACTCACACGCTTGTCTGTGTGTGCTGGATTCTTGGACAGTGTCCCACTCGCTCTCAGCTATCGTAGACTAACTATATAAAGAGACAGCACCTGGCGTGTCGTCACTTGCGCCGCATTATGTGAGAGGCCCAGTCTGCAATGTTGCTCTTTCCTGGTAAGATGTAGTATTTATTCAGTACGGTATCTGACTTATCTGAGTGCTATGTCACAAAAAAACAACCATATAAAGACTGCATATATACAGCTTTTAACATTTAATGATACTGAGAGTTTTACTCTGACAAAGTGGTATTTAATACATATCATGTGCTGGTACAAAGGTACAAAAAGCATTCACATATACTCTAATACATAAAGCGCAAAGACATATACCAGAAGAAAAACATCTCAATTACATCAAAACATCACCATGTTTATCAAGTACCATGGGAATAAAAGGATTGTTCATTACTGTGTGTATACTTTATATACAATTAATAAACCTACAATACCTGTTGGATCAGTGGTGGCCTAAAGGTCAGAGAAACCAGCTTGTGGCTGGTCCACTTGTTGTACTGGTGTACAGGTGTGAATGTCTTTACGTGTAAGAAGGGTGTTTCTGCAAAAAGTGGGTTCACCTCTCAGAGAACACACCCTGTCTAAATAAAAGTTAAAAAAAAGACATATATATGTAATAGGGCTAGTGATGACGCTCAAATTGGCATTACTAATATCATCAGAACATAAACAGTTTGACCCTGGTGGTGACGGCTGAAGGTGTAAGGGGTCTAGGGCATGTTGGCTGTGTGCTAGGCAAAGGACCCAGCCCCCTTCTCCTCCAGCCATGTGCTATCATCCATCTTGGCAGCATGATAACACGAGAAGACACTAAGAAGAGAATCTTCATTTTATAGATGGTAATAATAATGAAATATTGCTTACATTGTAATGTCATTTACTGGACTACAAACAGCTATCTTAATTGTTCTCCTGTTTATGTTTTAATAAATGTATGACATTTTGGTTAACTCTGTTTAAGTATATAGATATTTTGGTTGATTTACATGTTTGATGGACATTCTCTTGCAGCATATAGCAACGATAACAATTTAGGAGTGGCCTGAGCTGTGAGCATGTGATGACACTGATCCTCAGTGGGAGCTACACACAGAAGATGGTCACACCAGTTACTCCAAATGGTTCCTGCTACACTGAAGCATTCCTCTGTGTTGCTGACATTAATAATCCAGATCAAATCCCTCACACTTACCAAGTTACTGAGGTCGATTAAGATATCCCTTCCCCCAGATAGTATGTCTCACATCCTCTGATAATTTCCCTGCAGTCAGCTTTTAGGAAGCCCACCTCAGCAGTTTCACTCGCTGCAATACGAGTTACTGTGCCAGTCCATACACAGTATTTCTGTATCTAACAAGCAATGTGATGGTGGGCAAGTTGTGGGGGTTTGAAGGGGCATCCTTAAAAAAGACACAGGGGCAGTGGTGAACAGTGTAGATCTTACTGGTGCGCCTCTGTGATACAGCCACAATTAAGTGCGCAAGTTGTGATATCCTCACTTTGGTTTAAGTGACGTCAGTGATCCTGCAAACACATAAGACATTCAAATGTATAGTACCGATGGTACAGGCATATTTATCTTCATGAAACACAATTTACCTGTGGTGCAGACTGGTGGCCTCGATGAGGTTTTCATCCCAGTTGCTGGCCTATGTGGGCAATGTGGTTATTTATAGAAAACCATTACATTTGAATAGTTTAATGTAGGTAAAATGTCACTGCCATGTTTTCCATTTTAAAAAATGCGAGCTGCACATGACCCTACTTCAGTCATCAAAATATGAAATTAAACACAGCGGTCGACAAATGTGTTAATGATGGGCACGCAGCAGGAGGACAGCTCCTCGGGAAGTGTCAGTGACTCAGAAAATTACATGACTGTGGAACTTGGCAACTGTGTGTATGTGTATTATAAACAATCATAAGTGACATAGTGAAATTATCACATAACTCACCTGCTTTCCTTGAAAAAGGGTTGATCCCAGAGGAGGGCTGGGATGAAAATGTGCCAGGAGAGACAATGGTAGGTGGGGCAGCAGGGCAGAACTCAATAGCAGGTGGTGGCTCCTAAGAAAACATAGAGAAATATACATCTAACAACAGCGATCAACAATGAAGCTTGATTACATGTGAAAAGTATAACGTATCTCTGAGTCTTACTGTCTGAGCTGGGACTCCCTGCTGTGAACTCTCCTTTTGAACATCTTTGGGTTTTGATTTGAACCAGCTGCTAAACCACCCCGTCCTGGTGCTCTGCATATAACACAGAAGAAAGCGGGACACATTTGAGGAGACCCTAATATGGTTTAATAGGTGTGACAGTGATGGGGGATCCACCCACCTGTTTAGGAAGCTCATCTGTCTGCTCAGAGGCCTCAACGCCTTGTGGGACACTCTGCTGGTTTTGTCCTTGATGACTGATGTTGACCTCCAGCATGTGTCCCCCCATCTCCAATACAAACACAGAGATTCAGGTAACATGTGGAAATAGTTACCAATGATACGTTTAGAAAGGTTAAAATCTCAAAACACATGATTTAAAGTAGTAGAGCATTGAAATCTTTAGGAATGGTGAACATTTTAGCAATAAGCATTAATTTAGAGAAAGAGAGAAGACTAATGTGACCACATCAATCTAAGAGGTTGCCATTGTTCTCTTCCTTTTCTATCAGTACAAAATACTGCAGTTCTCACCATCACACCTCCAGAGGATGGCCAGACCCCTGTCAGAGCAGTAAAATTAAAATATCACACAGAGGCTCACTCCCCGCGGCCCATAGTAAATATCTGAACAGAGAATGCAATGAATACTCTCTGATATTAGATTCTCACCCTCTGCTGCCGATGGCAGATGACCCAGAGGACAATGTGGCATGACAGCTCTTTCTTCGGCATTATCTGTGTTATGATAACTGAAGTCTTGACTCTTCGCCACTGTGGGCGCTGGGGGAGCGTAAACCACCGGTACTGGCATCGAAAGATTGTCACTTGGCCTAGACAGAGTAACAGGGAGAGGACAGTGACATAATAGTGTTTATTAAGCCTGGACATCTCATTTGCAGTAAGAATTTGTATGTGTCTGGTTGACGTTAGCGGATCAGGGCGTGCTGCTGTTAATTCTGCACCGTGGCTGAGGTCCTCTGATGTCCTGCGATAATGCTGCCATTTCCTCAGTGTTTCCTTCAATGTGATGCACAAAGCTTTCTTGATCCTCAGTGGCTTTGTAATAAAGGAGTTCAGGCTCTGGACTTTGGATGTCACGATGTAGGTCATCCAAGTCAGATTCTGTAGAAACAAATGAAGAAAACCTAAGTACAGATATATGTGAAGGAAGACACTAGTCACTAGTGGGAAACAGGCCACATGACACTGGCTATAATGAGGGGACCAAGTATTACCTGAGCACACTTTGCTATCCTCATGGGCCAAAGCATATCCCTCTGGGGCTGGCTGGTATGATTCAGTAGAATCGTAATTCCCCCTCTGAGCAAAATAATATATGCAATAGGTTTAAAACAGAGAGTTTAAAGCCACGCTTGGTGAAACTGCCCTAACCCTGCTGTGCTTTGAACTAAATGCTAACTGTCAGCATGTTAGTAATGTTAACATGCTGATGTTTAGCAGGTATAATGTTTAGCATTTAGGCTATATCAGTGTAACATGTTAGCATGTTTCAACAGTTTGGACCTACAGCTGAGGCTGATGGGAATGTCAACCGGTTCTGCAGGTATTTGGAGGAACCAGAGTATTATATAAATTCAACTTCTGACTGGATAAATACACTAGATGAAAGTCAGTTGGCCTCCAAATTTACAGTTCACCCTGTGCAGGGCATGAACGCCTGTACCGGATTTAACAGTAACGCATCTAGTTGTTAATGTCACACATCAGTGGTGTTAGTGTACAAGTCATAAGATCACCACAGTCCGTAGGATTCATCATGCGAGAAAATGTCTGTACAAAAGTTCACTGTGATCCATCCAGTACCTCATGAGATAGTTCAGTGAGGACTAACAGACAGGTGGTCACTATCATTCACTATCATTATTAACGGTACTGCACAATAAGTAAGAGTTGTCATTGTTACACACTGGTGTAGGGGAATAAATCAGGGTTGTCATGCACAGTAAAATCACCACCTGCTTCTGCTGTTGGGTGCAACTAGTATCTAACAGGTTATGACTACTGTGGTTATGACTACTGAGAGACTCATAAGCATTTATGTCTCATTTCATATTTTTCCTCCACACTGTGGCCAGACACTTTTCCTTAAACGCTGTGTGAAATGAAAGGAGTGGAGCGGCTGATCACCTGTAAATCGTGGTGCCTAGCACGCAGCCGTTTCAACCAGTCAGGCTCTTCCCCGGCTCCGCTGACACCTGCTTCACTGAACTGACACTCAGAGTGTCTCAGTCTGTCTGCCAGCTGGGAAGAAAGCACGCATGCACTGTATCCATGTAGACTGTAACTGGTAGAAACTGAATCACACTGAGTAGAGTAATTAAATGTATAAGACATAATAGTTATGTATACCATAATAACCTCTGTGGTCAACACAAAGAAGGGCTCCCTCTGTCTGAGGATTGCCTGTCCCACCACCTCACAGTAATGGAAGGCCTGAGATGCAAGCCCGCAGTCCAACAGTCGACTGGCATAGAGGAACTTATACACCTGACAACAGCACAGCAATATTCAGGATCACATTCATTTTAAAATGGCATTTCTTTATCTTTTATTTCTACAAGATGCTAATATCTTCCATACCTCACTGTAAATATCTGCAAAAGGACTGACCATTAAATTGTTTGTAGTATGTAGCATGAAGTTTGAAGTTTGCAGTATGATTTGATGTAAGTGGGGGGGTTACCTGAAAGGATGGTATTGAAAAGCATTTCCCTCCGAGTGTCTGGCTGTATTCGAACACCTCGGTGCACTGGATGGCAGCGTTTGTGGCAAAGTGCTCAAAAGATTGTCTGAAGAGGAGGAGAAACAGTAAATCAAACACTGATGATCATCTCAGCAGACACTACACAGATTTAAAGATTAAAACAAGAGCAGACCTTAGAAGACCTTTAGACTCTCTAGTGGTAATTTAGTGTAATTCTATTTTCTTTTCTAAAACTGGCAGGGCATTTTGTGGCTGCTCTCGAGTCTGCATCTCCATCAATATTATGACAAGATGGACACCAATTACACTGATGAATGGCGTGCATCTCACCTGTGGCTGCTGCCTAGGAGCACCAGTCTGTCTGCCTTCTGTGTGAACACCCCAAAGGGAACCCTGGCTGTCAGGTAGCACACATGGGCGGCGTGTAGGAGGCCTCTGGAGGCTGCGTGGAGAAGAGGAGCTCACAACAATCAGCTCATATGTCTGTGAAGGGACAGCATTACAACCTGTCAGTCACTCAAACTATGTCCATACCCAGTGTGTCTCCCATGGTAATGATGGCCTTCTGTTGGACTGCAGGATCCCCTGTCTCATTGGACAGGATGACTGCCAGATGGGGCCTCCAGTCTCCCCATTTTTCATTCCCGCAGCACTGAGAACAGAACATCACCATCAAGACTCTTACTGGCTAACAAGAGACACACTGACATAAACTGTGATGACACTGACATAAACTGTGGGTGGTTTGTGAGTTTAAATGATCTCTTGCATGTTTTACCGTGGCTACAGCAGGGATTCTCCCAGACAGCAGCTGGAAGAGCGCTTGGAGGGTAAACCTGCCAGCAGAGCACTCTGTGTTATTGCACATCTTAGCTGAGGCTTTATTACATGCTAACAGCAGAGCCTCTGTACTAAAACAGAAACCATAACATTTAAAGAGCCTCCTGGCTGCTACTCTGTACACAACTGCTACAACAAGCTGATGGCTCACATTCTGCCCCTCTTGTCAGTCACAAATCAAAATCAGCCTGGCTATGTGTCAGTCCTCCCCCAGACATTCCTATACTGGCACCCTGACAGATCCTGCTGTGATACATGCTGCAGACACCAAAAAAAGTCTGTGAAATGGGTTGGGTTGCAGTCGAGAGGAAGTGCAACACAGTACAAACATTTCTCCTTATTAAAAACAGAGCTCTCAATCAGCCTTGCTTTAAAAACAAATCATTTCTCTGAGACTGGCCCACAAACATAAAAAATCTTTAGATGAACATACTATATGTCAAGCCAGATGATTTATGAGCAAGTTGTGGATAAACCACAACTTGTTGGATGGAGCAGTTGTCCTGTCATGTTCCCTGACATGTGCTACACAACTCACAAGTATAAGAATCTACACTTCTGACTGCAAAATACTATAGGAGTGCAATCAGCTGGATACTGTTCATTACTGTATTGAATTACATTTGCTCAGTATAGGGAAGTTCTGATTAAATGTGCAATTATTCCAATTTAAATGTCAAATAAATGTTTGTTTACAAAATGTCATGATTATGTTAAATTCCTTGTCATCAACCAAAGCATTGGACAAACTGCACATTTGACCTGATGATGGCACTAGGTGAAAAGTCAGAGGATCACCAAAATTATTCTAACACATCTTCAAAGGGACATGAATGTGTCCACAGAATAGAATGACAATCAGTCTAAAAGCTGCCGAGATACACCATGAACGTCTCTACAGAATTTGAGCAATCATGTCTCTTTCAGTCTGGACCACAGATCCGGGCAGGTCAATTCTGCCTTCCACAGAGTCGTGCCACTCGCATAGCTAAAACTTACACACAGGAAGCTGAGGATATAGCCCAAATACCAGTATTAAAAATACTGCTCATATGTGTCTGTAGCTGTCCCACAGGTTTCAAGCAGCCTGTAAGTAAGATTAGTCTGAGAGAATGTTTCTTCACTAATTACCAGTTTGCTATAGAGTTGTACACTGATTTATTGCAGCTGTTGTGCCTCTGATGACTTTACATTTCTCACCTGTTCAGCACAGTGGTGTAGGATCTGTTGTCCATTTTGCTGGCCAGAAAGAGTGCATGCCCCCATAGGCCGCTGCTCATAGCTGACTCCAGGGCCTCCTGGACACGGCATGGGAAAGTGTGGGAGGACAAACGATCAGATTCCAGAACAGTATGGTCATATTCTTAACTTGTATAACAGATTAGTAACTTTGTCAACTGGACTAGTGCTGTATTAGTGACAGACTTTCAAATGTGAACCTGTAGTTTTATGCTAATCACTACACTAACTAACTGGAATGATGCCACTTCTATTAGTTGGCTCTCGTCAGATCCTGCACTGATATGGTGAATATTATCCAAATAGATATTTACATTCCTACACCAGAGATGAAATGATTTATAATCTGTCACCTGGGGCGACACTGACATAACCTGAAGAACCTAAAGAGAACATCAGACGATTACAGAGAGAGACAAACAGGTAGAAACCTTCTTTCTTCCAGCCAGCAGTAGTTGAGTGTAACTCTGCAGGGCCTTCTCAGAGGTCTCGGAGCTGAAGCTGCTCCAGTTTCCTGTGAGCAGGTCATCTCCTTTGCGAGGTGGTGCTTCAGCAGCCATGCTATCATTGAAGTCAATGAGCACAGGATCATCCGTCTCCCAGCTTCCATTTGAATTTGAACCCTGCATCAGCAGCTCTGCGATATCTGAGCCAACTATTTGCTGAAACAATGTGCATGAAAGAAAACATCAGGTCATTACTATGATGGCTGTTGGATAGCAAGCCAAATGTTTAACATTTCCACATAGTGTAACAAGACCTTATGCACTTACTGCATTCTGTCTGCAGAGCAGTATCAAAAGATTCCACAAGAGGGCAGCAGAGCTCTTGTCATAGAGTTTGCCCTCTCTCATGCAGGCGTCAGCCCTCTGGTGGGCAAACTCCATAGCATCTACTTTGTGCAAATCTTTTCTTCAAAAACAGGAAAAATTTGATTTGATTTGATTTGATTTATTCTTTCAAGCATGTAAAAACTGTTGATATGACAACACACATAATTTTACACATAATCCAATATCAATTTGCTTATACCTAGTACATGCTTGAATGGAGTAGGAAGAAGTCAGACTTATCCAGTCCTACCCCATGACATCATCTTACCATCATTGGTTTGCAAGCAGTAAATGATTCACTTCTACCCACACACACTTATTATACTAAAAAAATGGTCAAATACATAGCACAGGAGCTTTGCAAATCTCACAGGACTAACTACTTTAACTATTTCAGGCTTGACATTCATCCAAATGAATTTCGACGGTGGAGAAAATGGCATGATGCTTTTGTTAAGACTGTGTAGTGGTGAGCAGTTTCCGTTTCAGAAAAGCACCAAAAAATAAAGAGCATTACCTTGTTAAAGGCCCGGGGAAGTTTCTCATCTCCTGCTGTTCCTGTGTCTCACTCAGAATGACCTGTGCAGACACAAACAGACAGAATCATCTTTAGCAGCTTTCATGAAAACAGTACTGGTGGTTACACACAAATTCTAATAATTTACACATAGTATTGCAATAGGTTTATATTGAACCTACTTCCAGACTGTGGATTTCCAGCTTGCTAGTGTTCTCCTGTGTGGAAAATCCTGGAGTGACCCGTATCAACTGTCCTGCTGGCCCAAAGCTGACAACTGCATGAGGGATTGAGTACTTCAGAGGAGCTGACATCTGATGCACTTGTCCATGCTCTGACAAAATATGGAACATTAAAGAACATGGGGCACTTGTCCATGCTCTGACAAAATATGAAGCATTAAAGAACAACACAGAAACCACTGACTGAAGTAGATCTGAGCGATAGCAGCTTTAGCTGTTCACTTACCCGTATAAGATGTGTGAAGCAGCTGAGGGACGGGGTCACTGTATTCAGCCCCATTTATGTACTGACTTAGTTCACAGCTGCTGGAGGACAACCCCGAGTTTTTGGAACTTTCTAATGTCCCCAGGTAATAAGAGGAAACTTCTTCGTTCTCTCTAGAGGGGTTATCCTCATAGTCACTGAGGTAATGCTGGGAATTGTCTCTCCCATAATCATACCTGAAATAAAATGAATACAGTAATGTGTGATATTATCATACTGCTACTGCATGTACACATGTACATTTTGGTACTTTATTTTTATGTATTATTATTAGTGTAACAGTTAACAGTGATTCAGATGTACTCCATTAATGACATTATCAACATTGAGAAGCAGCTTTGTATTTTCAGTATCAAACTGCCTTGCACAGAGAAATTCTGATGCAGGAAGCTGCGGAAAGCAGCACGTTGGAAGCAGGACTGATCTTTTCTCACCTGGACTACTGTAAGGTTTTATCTGTCAGAGCTCCTTCCAGCAGTTCCAGTGTTGTGCGAATAATAACTTCTACCAAGAATGTGACCGCCGTGCTAGTCGACTTACACTGGCTTCCACGTCAGTGTCATATAAACTAAGATCAAAATTCTATCGCTTTGTTTACTTCTTGTAAACAAACACAGTATGTGTTGGCTGGTGACCGCAAGTACTGTAGCTCTCAGTGGTATTAGTGTACAAGTCAGAAGATCACCACAGTCCGTAGGATTCAAGTCTGGGGAGACTATGCCTCTGCAGTTAAAGTCCCCAGACTTGGAAACATTATTCCTATTTTTAGCAGAAATACAACATCTGTGACAGTTTTACATTTCCTCATAAACTATGTGGGACCACAGTGTATCATCTTCCTCTGGTTTTTAACATTGCACCCATTTCATTGTATGTTTCTACTTTTGAAGTTAGTTTTGTCCTCCATGATAAACCAGCCAAAACACTCTGTAGTACTTCCAAACAGCACCATTTGATTTCCAAGTTTCTCTGGGTAGTGTGGTGCAAAAATACCACGTGTACATCACCAGCAGTGTTTTGACAATAAAAGTAAAACAAAAATCGAATTTATTTGCTTAACATTAACAAGTATCCATTTTTTAATTACTCATTAATCTTCAGATTGTTTTCTCAGTGCTCTGTCACCATTTCTCAGAAACCATACTGACTTATTTAAAAATGTACAACCAACAGTCCAAAACGACAAATGACCACAGAAGGCTAAGAAAACCGGAAAACATACTGTATGTACTTTTGAAAAGCTGAAACGGGTAAACTTCTTATCTTAAAAACAATAACTTAAACGTCCTATTATAGTGTATCTGTAATTGACTGACTGACCGTTCCATGGACCCTTGCAGCTCACCTGTACTCCTCTGTGTAGGAGCTCCCTGAATGTTCCTGCTTAGATGATCGTTCATGGTAGTGGTCCAGTCTCCAAGAGTCTTGGGAACCCCACTGACCAGCATCTTCATGAGGAGTACAATAAAATGCTTTATTATCGGGCATAACAGACCACTAATAAAAGCTCTCATTGTTTAGCCAAGTTGTTTTGCACCTTGTCGCCCATGCTGTCCTCTATAGTAGTCATGGTCGTAATAACCATAGTTGTCTCTATAGTCCCAGTGACTGTGTGGTGGATAGTTATAGCCATGTCTGAAAACAAAGAGCCTCTGGTTATATCAGTGCATTCACTGAATCTATTCATATCTATGTTATCCATCCCAGAGAAGGCAAGGTGTGCTGAAACGCTGAGCTATAGGATTTACAATAACAATAATAACAAACATTAAAATCATTAGCTTAAACTCCTCAGTAATATTGATTTTTACACAGAATCAGTAAAACTATTATATACTGTAATTGCTGGATAACACCAAAAATGATTTATACAAAACAGCTACTCCCACTGCTTGCATGCAAGGTCCCAACGCTGCACACACCTGGACTGGGGTCTCTGGTGTTCTGGTTGCCCATAGCCATAAGGATACTGAAGGTTGTACGGATAGTGTTCCGGCCTGGCAGGAGGACGGGTGAAGTGAGCCCTGTAGTGGGCATCAGGATGCGCCCAGTGTTTGTCCCTCTGCCTGGGGTCTGGTGGTGGGCAGCTGTGGTCCCTGTCCTGCTGAGAATTCCTGTAGTAGTCCTCTCTGTACTTTGTTCTGTGAGAGTGCCGGCCAGAGTCGGGCAAGGGGTGACCTCTGTGATCCATGAAAAACCCTCCACACAAGACCGGCCTACCTTAACACTTGAGGTTAAAAACGGGAGCTAGAAGTCTGCATGTTCTATTTAAAAAGTCTGTTCAAACTTTGTTTACGTACTTACAGCTCACACATGCCAGATGCAGGCAAAGTACATCCACGACTGCCACATCATTTCACAGGGAACTGGCAACAGGAGCTGATAACAAGTCAGCATGATAACAAGAGGATAAAGTTCACAAAATGCTGTGACCCTTATAACAAAGTGTGGTTGCTGCACCAGTGCTTAAAAACAGTTCAATTATCCTACTGAAGAAAAAAAAAACCTTAGCAAAGGATAACAATAATCATCATCATCACACCATCCCGGGTATTGTAGCCATAATCCTTCAGCTCCATTATGTTTGCATTGTGTATTCTCAGCCAATTTAGAGTAAACAGTGGAGCACGCCCTGAGTTTGACAGCTACACAATGCTGGAAAAGAGGAAATCACGTCCGTTTTCAGGTTAATGATCATTTTAAAGAATAATAAGCTTCTTTTCTGTGTCACTCAGACATGTCTAATAACTAACTAACTGTCCGGATACGTTAAATGTAAAAAAGTACAACTTTTTAGTCCCGAGTCGTGCCACGTTGCCGGCAGGGAGGTCGGTTATCTGTAGTCGGCTGGTCTCCGGTCGGTTTTAGCGACGGTTCAAGAGCAGGAACAACAGGAAACTGACTCGGAGTCAGTGGTGAGAGCTAGGACGTCAACGTTTCTAGTAGTAAAAACGTCGGTCATGCTTCACCACCAGGGGCGCTCTAATCCACTTTATAGGCCTGAGATGTGAACCTACATCATATTCTATGAGCAGTTTTAATAGACAATGGAAGGTTTTTCACCAAGTGTCCTCTCTGTAACTGTAGTGTGGCCAAAGAGAGACTTTTGTCCCACTTTTGTAGATGGGAAGCCAATGATTCTACTGATGTTTATAAATCATTAACTGATGCTTTATACTGTAGCCTACTCTCAGAAATGGATAAGAATAACGAGCCTATGGGTTGCCAGGTTGGTGTCTGGTGATGATCTTTTAAAATTAGTAACAATGAAGCTCCATTAATTAAGGCATCAAGTCTGCAGCATGATAACAACTGGATTTTGGCCCCTTTCTGAAAGGTCACTCCAGGGCTCTTTCTGATAAACTAAGGACTTATCTAAAAGAAAGTAAGTGCACTGTTGGAGGAATATCCAAGAAGATTTTCACAACCTGGCAACCCGGTTCTTATTAAGTACTTATAACTGATCTGTAGGCTAAAGCATTAGTAAATGGTTTTATTCACCTTTGATAAAGTGGGGAGCTACACCTTATGGATCTTTTATAAAGGGTACCTGATTAGAAGGCAACAGGCTGCCTGACAAAGTAGTCAGTCACTTATTAAGATTATTCACTGTGTGTGAATAAAAGTGCGCCCACATGTAGCCTACCAGAGCTGACTACATCCTCAAATAAAACACCATTCAAATCAAAACCACTATTATGAACTGACAGTTTTGTTTCTAACATTTTCATCACAAATATAGGATACTTGTGTGTTTGTTGTTAATGAATGTGGGGGGGGGAATCACACACAATATTTTACTGAAGCAGGATTATGTGCAAACTAAAACACTTGAACAAAGACGGCTAGGGATGAGTGGTCACGTGACCATGAGGAGAAGTAATTGCCACGTGCCACCACAGGGTGTCGCTATCTTCACAGAGACAAGTAGGAAAGGAAAGCAGTGTGGCTACGTGAGCAGTGGGCTCGGTTTATGCAAATCAGTTGTGAGCAATCAGGCTGATACTAGCGGAGTCCCACGACTCACCGGGCGCACAGTCGGTGTCTGGGCTCGGACTCGGTAGCGGTCGCCTTTCGCTCTGGATTTTATAGGACACCGGCTTGCTCGGATGTGCAATATGACTTTTGAAGAAACCAATGGAGATAATTCTTCAGAAAGGTCGAATGAAGTTCTTTAATTTTGCTTTTTTTGCATGTGTTTTAGATTTTGCTCATGCGTTAACTTTTTCTGTACAATAACTTTACGACTAGTAACGTTTTCTTTTGGGTGGAAGAACTAACTTGTTACTGCAAACCTGCTTCTTGGATGTGCTTTATTTTTATTTGCTGTGTGAAGTTAGCTTTGACTGATTGTCAGAAACGTGTCTTTAAAACTCTGAATGGTCAGACACCCCCTTAACCTCTGAGCTGTTAAGTGACCATAGTCCAGTAAGGTCACTAAAGGTCACTAAAGCTCCAGACCGGCTCCTCCTGCTCCCCAGGTCTGGTCCACACACCGGGGCCACTGTGCTTTAGCAGTTGTGGCTCCGGAATATCTTACCCATGAATATTAATAAGTGCAGGTTGCACTTATTTACAGTAGCTTTAGCCCCATAATTACAGTGAGACTGGTTGATCGATCGATTGATTTTCCTTCGATTTTAAAAATATAAATATAGCTTCTGCTAGTTGTCACGTTTTAATTTGAAACTATTATTGCATACTTGTGAAGCACTTTCATATGGCTTATTGTTGTTGCTATATCAATAAAAATTGTTTAACGTTATTATTGGGTCAGCCTACAGTATGACTCGGTTTATCTCAGCCAAGCTAGTTAGCAGGTTAGGCTAACGGTAACGCTAACCTGAATGTGTGATACTCATAGTATCACATAGTGTTGTGCTGCACGTTGCACTGTGTGTCGCACATCACCATCTTTTACCTGCTGCCATTATAAATGACAGTACAGCATAACATGAGCAAGAAAAGCCGGCTAACCCCGTTGTGTTGTGTCTTTAGCTAGCTCATGTTTCAATAACTATCAAATGTCTCTTTCTATAGGATGGAATCGGTGTCTAAAGCATTAGAGGAGGTCCTGAGCTCTGCATTGCCTCAGGGTTGCATCACTGTTGGAGTCTATGAGGCAGCAAAGGCACTAAATGCGTAAGTTAATAAAAAGAGACCTGCATTTAGTTCTTGTGGATCCACTTAGGATAAAGTATGAGATAAGTACATTTTGCCCTTTTCCTTACAGCTGTTTTTCTTTCTTTTGTCTCTGTTTAGGGATCCAGACAATGTGGTGTTGTGCCTGCTGGCCACAGACGATGAGGAGGATGTGGCTCTCCAGATTCATTTCACCTTAATCCAGGCTTTCTGCTGTGAGAATGACATCAACATCCTGCGGGTGAGCAACATGCGGCGTCTGGCAGAAATCCTGGGTGGGGTGAAACCTGGAGGGGAGCCCATGGACCTGCACTGTGTTCTGGTTACTGTAAGCATCATTACTCATGTCTGTTTACTACAACACTGCTGTATATTGCTCACTTCCCCTCAGACTGTAAAGGCGGTTGTTATTCCTTCACTGCCACTTGTAATACCAAGGCCATTCTTACACCTGCAAGGAGCTCGTACTAGTTGTGATGATTTCATCGTATGTGTTTCCTAAATCGGCAACTGCTTTGTCCCTTCTGCAGAACCCGCAGTCATCACTGTGGAAGAACCCTGCACTGAGCAAAGTGAACAGATTCTGCAGAGACAGTCGCTGTTTGGATCAGTGGGTGCCTGTTATCAACCTGCCTGACCGGTGAAGCTACCTGGAATATTAATGTATTGTTGGGGGAAAAGTAACTTCACAAGGCCTGTATTAGTGTCTGTGTTGGACTCCTTTGGAATGCACCCCAGACAGAGAGAGAGAGAGAGAGAGAGAGAGAGAGATGGGAGGGGCAGAAAAATGCACACGAAGAAGAGAGATGTTCCAGCACATGTAGCAGGTCAGGGTGAACTTGTGGGCGGAGTGACTCAGCGGTGTTCGTTCCAGGACTTCCCATGTATGACTGTGCCTTTCTCTGCTGAGAAAGAAGCTTTTACAGGAAACTGAATCATGTGAGCAGACAAGTGCACGTGGTGGGGAGCACAAGTACAGAAGTGGAGAGAAGCAGACAGAAATCCTCAGTTAGCAAGACTCCAAGAAGTGGACTGTGCTGGAGTGGACCAGCCAGAGCTCTCAGCTCGAAGAAGTCTTCATGACAATTTGACCAAATCCATGCATTTTTTTTAACAGCATATTTATTCAGTGGTATTTAAGACTTGTCACTTTGTTAGCTCAAAAAGGCACGTTTTCACAGTTTAGGGCAACACATTGTTTAGACTTGTCCATTCATTGATGTTTTATGTGTTAATAATTTAATAAATTATATTTATTGTGCATAGCTAATGGAATTTAAGGTGAATAAAATAAACTACCAACAGTTCTCAGGGTGGTTTTGCCTCAGTGATTTCCTGGTAAGACTAGCTGAGCATACTTGTAGGGAACGACACGGTGTCCAAAGGAACAGTGTGTGCTTCTTGTGCCCGCAGCCAGCTCATATCAAGCTCAGCATGTTGCCCCACAGGATTTGGATTTTATCTTGGCACACCTCTAGGTGCGTAAAAGTGTTTACTCAACACATTTCTAACCTTTTCTGCTGCTTGCACATCTTAGATCAAAAGCAAGATCAGCTATTTACAACTTAAAACAGTCACCTGTTTGGACTAAATCCACTACAGGCATGTGAGATTGCTTGAAATCAGCTTTACTCCTGCATGGGAACTAGTAAAGTTTGACCTTTTGCACATTTTGAAGCTGAGGGGAGGAGAATTCCCATTGTAGTCGACTGAGTGGGATGGGGCTCATCGTGACAGCTCATTCTTCACAACCCTCTGCACTTACGCAATCAGAGCTAAATTTACAGTTGTGTGAGTTAAAAATAGAAATGAAGGAAGAGAACAATCCATGTTAAAAGACCTGCTTCAGGCTGCATAAAGAGAAAACCAGAAGTTATTGATGCTTCGCCAAAAGGAGAGGCTAAAGCCTTCTAAACAAAGGGTCACTGGACAGTGGAGGCGTGAGTCAGGGCTATTCAGTTCTCCTGTGCTAGAGCTGTACAGTACTTTAGCTTCACAGCTAAACATAGCCCCATGAATAGAGCCCCACCCCCCGACACACTGGTAATAGTTGTTATTAACACGCAGCGTGTAGAGAGAGGCTGACCTGCAGAGGTGTCAGTGTGCATCCAGCGGTATTAAGACAACAAAATGCTGGACTGAGTAGAAAAGTGGAGAGGAGTGTGGGCTATGCCAGAGTAACCGCAGGGTTTGCGGTCTTGTTAAACTGAAGTTAAAGGGCGCTGTTTGTTAATGTGATGCACACAGAGGCCATGCAGACTTGCACTCAAACCAAAGTGCCGCAGTTGCAGTTTTCTAATAACACTTAGTTTCGCTACTGGTTTTCTTCAGGGATGGTGCCAGTCAGCAGAACTAAAATGTTGCACGCTGTGCATCTAGATGTGACAAAAACAGTCAAAGTAGTGGTTTAAGATGGACTAAGGAAAGTGGAACAATAACCCCAAAAATTCCAGAGGTGGATGAGAACGTGGCACCTAAATGCCAAGCTGATCTTTAAAACAAAACAGTTTTTTTCCTTGACCAAAGCTTTTTTACCACACAACCAGGGGTGAGATGTTAGAGATTCAGGATTACTGGTTTATCCTGGGGCTTCTCCCCTGCACTGACAGGTAACACAACCACTGGAAATGTTGCTGCTTCAAAGGCGGTCCTAACAATCATGTAACTCAAGTGAGAGTTACATCAATGCAGGCCATCAAATATGGTCTGACCTGATTGTGGATGTAACATCACACCTGAAGTGACTTTAGAGAGGGGAAACAGGGCTGCCTAGAGATTTAGGATTATTGCATAACAGGATTGTTCTGGCTTAGGGGCCCAGGAACACATTTACTAAGAAATTAGAGCAAACAAGAATGTGTATGTGCTCCTGACCTGAGACTTGGGACATCCATCTACTTGTATGAACATAGCAAGCTGTGATTCCAAGAAAGGAATGAAAAGTTGGTAAACAAGGAATCTAGTTACCAACTAATTGCATAAGTGAGTGTTTTGGCTGAGGAGGTATCTCTTCCTCTGTTCAAAGATGTTACTTTACAAAACAGCTCGTTTAAATGCATCATTTCAATACTCTAACCAAATCCTTTAGGAGTCGTCAGATATTCTGTTGTGACAACTAAGACTGTTATCATGCCTGAATATCATGTAGTGTAGCTTATGTATATAAAAAAATCTCACAATAGTTTAAAAAAAACGAGTTGAAATGATTTGCTTTCCACGGGTTTATTTGCATTTATCACAAACAGGCAAAGACAGAGATACGACATACACTACCTACCTAAACATTGTAATTATTTTGTAATAAAAACACAAATTCATATTCACCAATAAAAAGCAATCAAATATTACATTAACCAAAATAACACACATAGTTTAAATTGAAAAATTAAAACTCAAAGCTGAGGTTTGACTGAAACAGTGACATACTGCACATTAAACAGCTACAAGCAAGCATTTATTGTGCTACATGGACATACAAACTGCACTGAATAGTTACAGACATAAGATAGAAACCTCAATGCAATTACTACTGAACATTTTCAAATATGATGTTGTACACAGATACTTCCTTCGCCTAAATATACCTACAGTATTACAGTATTCACAGTATTAGATAGACAACAGCACTTGGCGTGACTAAAAGGTAGTTAATAGTCTGAAGCAGGATTACTTCATTATTAAGGCCCTGGCTGGTAAAATTGCAAAATTAGTTGCTTATGTTTTGCATGAGCACCAACAAAGTTATACCTATATGCAAACGGTCAGAATAAGATACTCATAATAAGTTTTACTGCAGCTGTAAACACAGAATGTTTCAAACTCAAGAATTTAACAGTCATCTGCTGTTTACAGGTTTCAAAGTACCTGAATCAATAATATGCCTCAGTGCTGCAGAAAGAAACAGAGAATCTGCTGGCAAAAGAAATCAAACATTTTGTGGTGAGATAGCAGAAGTCTAAGAGTGACACTGAATAGGTAGATCTGGTTAGATGGCACAGATTGGTCTTAAATGTTTTTCTTCAGGAACAATGACTGGATATTTGTTTCCCCATGTAAAGCATACTGTAAGTAGTACCTCATGCAAAACAGTCATCTACAGAGTGGAGTGTTTAGTGATCTGAAAACATGTGTCATACAGTTTGTGGTAGGACATTTGAACCACGTTGGTTGCACTGTCTATGCTAAGAGAGAGATGGGAACCATTTAATACCTAAATATTTATTATTTAAGAGTGTGACATGATGACAACATATAACACAGGAGCAGTAGCAGTGAACTTCAGCCCTTTCCATTTGTCCTCCTGTAACAGAACAGCCTGGTTTACTTGTCCAGAGACAGGATAACATTATCTCAGATGCTCTTTATCAGTTGAGAACAAACTACAACAACTGTTCTGTGAAGCAAAGCTGATGAAAGAAAGAGGTAAAAGCTGAAAGCCTAAATCTGCTTATGCACACTGTGATAATTAGGGAGTCAGGAACACTCCCTCAGTGATAGAGCTCCTTCCAAGCCAAGGTCTGGGGCACTCTTGGTCTTGTCAGATAACAGCACAGAGAAACAAAAGTCACCATTGAGTCTTATTACAAACTTTTAATCACCTTTGCCGGAGCTAAAGGTTTGATCTGACCACAGCTTCTTTGGTGTAACCACTCTCTGACTAAAAGGTTGAGAGGAATATATTCCTTGTCAAACAGCAGCAGGCATGTGAAAAAGTAAGGGGGTACACTGGCCTTAAGGCAAGTTGTGAACAGTATTACTATTAGATCTTTCTCACATAAAAGAATAAAAGTGAAAAGCAACAAGAGTTCAGATGTTCTCCTACAAAACAGTGCAAGGCTTTTTGTCCTTGAAAGGGTTTTCTGACGCAGGGATGCCCATGAGCAGTGGGTCATTCTTGGCGTGTTCTCCACAATAGCGCATTAAGTCTGATGACGCCTTGGACACCTACGAAGAAATCAGTCCATACACTGATCTACTTTGTTATACATGTAGCAAGAAAAGCACTTCAGGGTGAATGACTATGACTATGAACACACCTTTATCCTCTCGATGCTGGCCTCTATCCTAAGCTGCTGCACTGTCCGTCTGGCCTGGGCTATGCTACTGGAGCTCTGCATTTTTGAAGACATCACAATTTTTGGACAACTTTGCTCAAACCTGTATTAAAAAACACATAGTGCATGCATGTTAATCAGTATAAAGGTGCAGTTGGTATTTGTGCAAAGAACCCAACAACATAAGAATGTCAAAAATACTTCCTATCAAACGGCAGCTGAAAATGCTGCTGAGACTGTTTCTGCCTTTATACAACTTAGAGCTGTTATAGGTAATATACAGTATATGAGGTATCAGTATTATATAGTTCTGCCCCAAGGTTAGTGTAAGGTTAGTGAATGTGAGTGTGTATGGTTGTTTGTGTACATGTCGGCCCTGTGATAGACTGGAGATCTGTCTAGGGTCCACCCCCTCCCCCACCCACACATACACCCAACCCCCTCGCATAGTACCAGGGACATATAAAAATGCATCGGCTTAAAAATGAATATTAATGTGACTGGAAAGAATAATGTTATGTTACGTAAATAGTTATGTGCCCCAAAACAAACCCCTGTGGCACCCCATAACTGATAGCAATAGGGCTTGATTTGGCAGCTACAGTCTCCCAGTAAAGTGAGCATGAAACCAGCAGAGTGTCATATCATCTAAACCTAGAGAACGTAGTTTGCTAAGGAGGATTTTTTGATTGACTGATGGTATCAAATGCTTCTGAGGGGTCAATAAAGAGAGGAGCATAAACTAAAGAATTTCTTGTCTGGGAACCATTTATGCCTGTTTGAAATTTTCATGGCAATTTACCTGACATTTGTTGAAACATTTTAGCATGGCTAAAAATGCACATAAACAAAATTAATCAAAGCCACATCTTTGGCTGCTGCACTTAATTTGATGTATAAGCAGCTTTGCACAACAAGGTTGAAATGATAAGTAGTGAGGTTATAAAAAATGTTACCGCCCAAATGTCTAACACGTAGAGTACTGTATAACTGTAGAACTTCTCAGAAATGACAGTTGACTTCATTTGGAATCATTTGGACTGACTGTGCGTCAAAGTTGTGACCCAACCTAACGGACTCCTGTTTCACAATCCCTACTTCCAGGACACTGTGGTTTGCTCTCTACCTCATTGCGTCACTCTATGAATTACTCGAAAGAGAGTTACAAGCTGCAGAGTTGCAAGCTCAAAGGGGAAGCAGCTTTTGAGCAAAATCTGGTGTTTATTTTCTGTTTTCTGCACAAACATAATTTCTTAGAAGAAGGGGAGAACAGGAACAGCTTCTAATACCAGAAAAGAACATCTTGATTTCAAGTTTACAATAGAACAAAGTGCAAATGCTGTTAAGCAATAAGTCAGAATTTCTTTGTGTACCCAGCAGTTGTTCACCACTGGTAATCTGCAGTTCTTGTTCCTGGAAAAGATGAAGAGCACACACCAGAAAGTGACTCTGTGGGACTGACGAAAATAATCTTTAACATGTGGTGTGGTGAGCACTCACTCTGTGCTCTGGTGCAGGATGTTAAGGAGGAGGGGGACACGGTGAAGATGAAACATACAGACGGAAGACCATACATCCCTCCAATCCCCCCACCCACTCCTTTCCACTTCCTCCACAGGAAGCAGTATCACCAGTCACCCTCTAAAATAGAAATGATTAAATATGTGATGATGGCTTTAAAAACAGAGGCCACTCAAAAAGGTAGCTTTCCTAAAGATTGCATGATTAGATTAAACTCAAAATAGCGTAACGTCTGTTTTTGTTGTTTGTGTTCTCTTGACATGTGCACTCATTGTTCCAAGGAATGTCATGTGGTTGCTCTCTTGTCAACAAAGCTGTAATTTTTAAGCCTTCAGCTGCAGTGGCCAGGCATGAGTGGACCCAGGCGAAGCTGGTGTTTACTCGCTGCAGGGATGCTGAGCGACGCCAGCAGCTACTACTGAGCATTGTAAATTTAGACAATAAGTATTTAGTTTTTTATGTTTTACTGCACTAGTGTTATGTTCCTAATTGTGCTGGTGCCTTGTCACTAATTCAGACTAGTGATCTCACAGCACTTGATCATTTCTGATACACAATCCGAATGAAATTCAATTCAGTTGCTCAGTGTTCATACTTATCCTACTGTCTGTGTTTTCTTTCTTGTGCTTTTCACTTGTCACATTGTTGCTTATACACTGTAACTGCATAAGGGGAAATGTATTTGTAGTGCACTGTGAGCTGAAACTGGATGATAAAATTAACAGTGGCGAAACAGAGCTGGCCTGCAAGTTTAGCAGCTGGTTAGAGCAAGGGTTTGTGCAATTATAACCTAGTATTGTTGATTTAAAACTGTCAGAAATATCCTTAAATATACAAATGTTCCTGTTGCAACATTTACTAAGAAAGCAGTTAGTGACACAGAAAGTAGGCAAAAAAAAAGTGAAAAAATTGATAGTTGAATTATACAGTGTCTGCTGTGGAGATGGCAGAGGTACCACATCTGGCATATCATCTGCAGCGGTTAGTGCAGCAGGGGTGAACGAGTTTAAAACCCACACTTACACCAGGACTGGTTTATTGCCTTGCTGTGGGTGCACACACACTCTGCTGTGCAGCTGCTCTCAAGGAGCTGTCTGATTCAGTGAGGTCTCAAGCCTCAGATGTGTTGTTCAAACAAGCCTGTCTCTCTGGGTAGTGCAGTGGGCAGCTTTACAGCAACCCTGCCCAGTCACAGGGATCTTAACATTCTTACAGACTACATCTATGTGGTCTCTACCCATGGGTCATCCACGAATCACAGAGTTAGCAGTTCGGTCTCTCCAGTCCACATGTCGAAGTGTCTTTGGGCAAGACACTGAACCTCCAGTTGCTTCCGGTGGCCAGGCCAGCGCCTTGAATGGCAGCTCCACCACCAATGTAAAGTACATTGTCCGTCAAGGTAGAAAAGGTGCAGTCTATTTATCATTTACCATCTAGAATTAATGCGCCTCATTAATGTGACATTTCTACTGGACTTTCATTATTTATAGATAACACATACAAAAAATTCTAGCTTCTGCTATAAAAATAGCCTATCTCTTTGCTAGCTAATAAAATATTGCAAATTAAAGGAACAGTTGAATACTGTGCATATTCTTTTTCTTACGGAGAAATTGTGTCTGCAAGTTAAATTTGAATCTACGACTAGTTAGCCAGTTAGCTTAGAATCATAGGCTTGAAACAGGAAACAGTTAGCTGGCATTGTCCAAAGGTTAAGAAATCTGCAAGCCACTCACTAATTAACGCATTATGTGTATATTTGTTATATCCCCATAAAAACCAAATGGTTATGAGCCAGCTGTTTCCTGTTTCTGGTCTAGGAAGCTAAACTAACTGTCTCCTGGATGTTCTTGTTTACCATACAAACAATCGTATTATTCTCATATAACTCTTGTCACAAAGGCAAATGTGTATTTCCTGTTGTTGAATTATAGCTTTAATGTTTAATTAGTAAAAACCAAAACAACAGTATATGTGACCAACTCTTTCTGCAGTGAATACTAATTATAGCTTGTGGTAGAATATACAAATCCTTATAAGAAACATTCTGAATTATATTTTAAGCTATTGCCTAATTACCATATAGTCCTATTTCTGAGTCAAGACTTAAGACAAACAAAGCATGAGTGAAAAGAGACCTCATTCTAGTAAAACAAACACAAATAAGTGGGGAGATTTGTCACTGCCTACTGTGTAATTCTTTGTAGACTGAACCTACAGAGTCCGTCTAAGAATGTCTGCAATGCCTTCCACTGTGGTGTGTCCGTCTGCATCCAGCATGTGTACTGAGCCTACATAATGTGTGGTACATCTACACATGTGGCACACTGAAAGCATTGATACAAGAAGATATTTGAAGTCTTAGAGTGGAGAGATTTCTTTGATGTGGTTACAGGGCTTTGCACAGGTGAGCTCCACCGAGCCAACACTGAGGTCCCGTAGAGTTTATGACAGCAAACCCTGCTCTCTGCTGTGTAACGCTACACACTGCTTAGATCTGCTGCCTGAACAAATACACTAATGACTTACTATACACTGGTTTAAATCAACAGCCTACAGGACTCTATGTGCATGCGTGTACTGAACAGTGGGACAATACCCATCCAATTTGGTACATGCATCTCTATGGTGTCTCCAGGTGATAGTGGGTGTAATATCATTCATTATACAGTAAACTCTATATATAACAAATGCATGCAAAGTCTCATAACAAATAGTGCCACTGATGCAGTCATTTGTCTTCCACTGCAGTGCATTACAGTTGTCCAAACCCTGCACACATGAAACAGGTTATTACCTCGTTACTAGTATTACTGCATCTAATAGTTACTTGTATTGTCAGTTAATTAGACTTTTTTCTTTGGTAAAATGACTGAAAATGGTGACAGAAGCTCATCACAATTACCTAGACATTTTTAAATTCCTTTTTGGGCCGCATTTTCAACTCTCAAATGTTCTGTCAGAATTATAGATAATAAACCGTAGAACAACTGATTAACCAAAATAAATACATTTAAATAGTCTGTCTTAAAATCATACCCATGGGTACATTAAAGCAGTTTTTAGTCACTATAATCCATAATTTCTTTAATGTATTATGTCTGTTGTGGCCTTGAAAAGATTTGTTTCTCAGAGGATTTTCAGGTAGAAGATGGGAGACAAACTCTGCAGTCCTTGTTCTGTGCAAAGTACAATCCTATACCACAGAGCACCTCACTATACTATAGTATGCTATGCTATACTATGCTAGACTATGCCTATGCCAGTGCACATACAGAGCTATACGGTGCTATGCTATTGTATAAAATCTGAACTTTAGTCAAAGCTTGAACTACAAAGAATAAGTTGCTTGCTTGATTTTGTCAACTCAGACTGCAGAGGCCTCAAGTTAGCTTTGGCTGAATGTCAAAATGCATTTCTACACCTACCAAGAACGGTCCAGCAAACAAAAATTATTAAATGTGAGTAATCTTTTACAGTAAGTCAAAGTGAAGAAAATTTTGATCTTATAAATTAGCTATGATTATGCATTATATATGAGATTTAAAAAAACTTCTGTAACTCTTTGCATATATTAAATTCATAGTGCAATAAAAGACAATACAAACAAAGTAAGGTGCATTGTGTTCATAAATTACAGAGATGTTATTTAGTTACTGATAAGCAGAAGGCAGGCCGAGTGCTGCAGCCTAAATGATTGGTTATCAGCTGTCTCCTTCCAAAACTGCTGAGCCGTTGAACACAGAGCAGCTCCATTACATGTTTGTTACACTCTGCTGGAAACTGCCTGGCAACAACTCCAGCAGGCTCCACAGTTCACTTCTGGGCCAGGATCTGTGCTGCTTCTACAATAAGCTCTAAGGCTTAGGCACATTTGAGAGGCATGGTGACAATGTAGACAGGCTATCAGTATTGTGCCACACTCGCAACTGCTGTGTGGGCGTTATGTATGACAGAGGAACCGGGACAGGAGTCCAGAGCTTTTACAAGTTTAACTGCACCCTCATGAGTGCTAATCTCAGACAGCCCAATGATATCTATCTGGGAGTCAGACTGTCCAGTCAGGCATGCAGAGGAAAGAGACAGAGGCCTCCCAGATTGTAGCAAACACACAATGTCTTTACTCAGTTTTAGTGAGACAAGTTGTATGACTAATGCTAAACCATTCTAATGTGCACAGGAACATCATCAATTACAAGTTTTGATGGTGACAGATTTTTAAAGGCGTTGTTGGTGCTGTCCAAAATGCTTCAAACCCCTTCTGTGTGAAGTTGGACGACATAAAAAGAAACACGTAGGTGTTTGCATTGCACGCTAACAGGAGATGAGGGTTCCAAGCCACTGAGTCACTGGCTGTGAGTTTCGCTTTGGGATCCAGAGTCCACTGTACACCTTACCTCTGAGCTCTGCAGCGGAATGCAACACCTTTGCAGAGGGTGAGGCCAGTTATAATAGAGGACAACGGACTCTCACTCCAGTTTCGGTTATCCTTTCCTTTCTTCCCACCTGGGCCCCGTGTGCAGAAAAACTGGTTTCTTTGACTGTGTGTGTGTGTGTGTGTGTGTAGCTATTCACATATCTTGCAGACGATTGCAGCCATTTAAAAATGCTATGCTTTAAGCTGATCTATGGCCTGTGGAGCCGTACAGTGCAAAACATAACATGAAACTGAATTGCAATTGAACATGATACATATAATTTATTTATGTATTTCTTTCTTAAGGTGAACAAATCCTTTCTAAACCACTAATAAAAATCAACAGGATGGCCACCCACAGGAAAGTCATGGTTATAAAATACTGGCATGTTATACAACTATGTTATATTAGCAGGTTCCTACTATAAGACTGACACTAACAACAGGTCTAAACCCTTCTTCAGAGGAATGTTGGCAAACACAAGGCCTTGCAACCTCTGAAGGTGAACGATTGTCCTATTTTTAGAAATCCAGCAACAGGTTTGCAGAACTTTGGAGAAATACAGCAGATTTTCCAGATTCATTATTGATTAATTCATTTTTGTTTTGGTCTGTACAACTGTAAGAATATAACAAGAAGCACTATTTCCAACAATAATTTTTAAGACATAATAATAAAAAAGAAAACAAAGACAGAAAGAAACAAAGAAAGCACAGAAATGCCTTACAGCAGAACAGGTTGTCTTCAGTAAGATATTAAAAACACTTACAGTATTAATCCTGCTGTCATCACTACAACTTCTCTGAAGACACATAACTATCTTGACCCTAGTATAATTGCACATGCGGCTTCAAGAACAAGCCCTCAGGGCTCAGATGAACAGTTAATGAACCCTTAGTCAGCCCTGTCTACTCCCTGATCCAACCTTGTGTGAGCTGTTCCACCAGCTCTCTTTATCTTGTCTTGCTCACTTGAACACAATAGCGTCACACAGACTGGCTCCATGAAAAGGAAGCTTGAGATTTGCTTTTGTGTGGTTTAGAGTCAGGAGGTAAAAAGTCACAAACTGAATGGATAAAACACTGCATTGTACACCAGTGAAGAAGTGAAGAATGTGTTTGTGTGTGTGTGTGTGTGTGTGTGTGTGCGCCCAAATGCTCTATGTGCA